GTTCGGTAATAAACAACGAAACGGCTTGTGCAGTTTGTCACGACAACGATAAAGTTTCCATGCAGTTTAGACTACCATCAAAAGCCAGCATATATACAGCGGAACTTGTAGCTATCAAAGAGGCAATCAAATATTGTCAAAAATATGAACTCAATCGCTATTTCGTCATATTCACGGACAGTAAAAGCGTCACTCAAGCGATCCAAAACGTCAACCCATCAACAAAAACCTCCCATCTCATCACTGAGATTATTAAGATGTACAACGAGTTACGATCACTAAATAAAAACCTGGAAATAGTTTGGATAAAAGGTCACGCGGGAATCACGCAAAATGTACATGTAGATAAACTAGCTAAGGAGGCAACTTTAATCGGAGATCCCATACCTGAATTTAAAATCCCAAGCTCGGATATTAAAAAAATCATTATGGAAAAATTAAAGAACAACTGGAAAAAATACTATCTTGACTACGCTGCAGGAGAGGGTTACAAGAGATTACAGCCTGGAATAAGAAGAAAATCATGGTTCGCAACGGAAACGAATAGGTCTTTCATTCGAATAATTTGCCGTATGAGAAGTTCCCACTGTTTATGCGGGGAATACAAATATAAAATGAAACTTAAAGATAATCCTTACTGTGACTGTGGAGAAATTGACAATTTACAACATTGCTTAATGGAATGCTCAATAAAGAAATCTCAGGTAGACGATCTATTTACCAAATTGGCTGGTACCAAACAAGTTTTGCCAACTAACATTTCTAACCTATTATCATTAGGAAAAATAGATGTATATAAAATTGTATACAATTGTATAAAGAAGAACAACATAATTTTGTAAATAAATATGTAAGGACTTATATTATCAAAAAAAAAATGTATAAATAAAGGAATGATAAATAATAAGAAAAAAGAAGAATAATAATAAAATAAACCTCAATAAAATAAATTAAGACAAAAATTTTAAAAAGAGAACAATAATAACAATAAATATAAATAAGTACGGAGTTATAGTAGTACATATAAAAAAAATACACGGAATCATAGTAGAAACTATAATGACCTTTTTTTGTTACTGTTAAGATGGATGTATTTATTAATCATTGTCAAACAAGAAAGAAAATATAAATCATCGGGCATGTGGTATCTTGTAAAGTTTAGCTCTTAGTGTTCCATTTCTATACTATTTAATTAAGAATCCGTTTGTTCTTTATTTCTTTATATGGCCATAATATAAAAATTGAGTTAAACAAATGAATTAATAAGCAGATCATGACAAGGACTGGCTATTTGGTGATGAACCAGTGCCATTTCAAAACACACACACACACGGTCTGAAACATGCGGAGACGATTTTCTTTTTTGAAGGAGTCAAGAACAGTAATATTACCCTTTAATATGATGGATATTTTAAAAATGCACTAGATGACATTATGAAAGAACGTTGTAAATAAAATAATATAATATTTAATTTCACTTTACCACCACAGAGATAGGCCGTTAATAAAACTAATAAAAAATACGCGCGAATTTACCTACACCGACGATCAAGCCGTTAAAAGAATTTCAACTGAAAGCCGGTAGTGAGACAGCAACAAAGATAAATTTATGCCCACAAAAAACGAGTTAATAAAAGATACCTAGAACAGATGAGTTGCCAGGTTGGCAACGTTGGCACTCATTTAGGAAATTCATAAAGTACAATAATAAATTAACAAGTTGAAACATTTTATTAAAAGAATTTTTGTATATTTGGCGTAATCAACATGTTTTTATAGTAAAACGCATTTAACATAGATGTAGTAAATTATTTATGCCTACAATATTATTCGTTTAATGCCAAGAACTTGCCGTGTGTCTTACTAATATTAATTCTCAGTAGGTATTACAATTTTTTTAAATAATGTTATATTTTAATAGTACCGGATGCTTTTAAAATATAAGGAAATTTAACAATTTAATGTGACAACAATGTTTCTCGCTTGTAGTGGACTTTGCCCTATTCAAACATATCGGTTAGAGTATAGGATCAGCTGCCCAAACTCGCAACTCCAAAAACATCGAAGAACCCGCGTTTTGCTTTTTTTCAGTCAAAATACTTTTTCACAGGATGGATTTTTTTACAGCACAACATTGCTGCTGAATTTGATAACTATTTTGGATATCAGATTTGCTGTTGCATCTTACATTGTTAGAATTACGGGATAGTATTTCCAGAATTTGGGTTTAATTTACACATTTAATACACTAATTTTGTCGCCCAGTTTATATTTGAGCTCATGCTTTAATTTGTTTCTGGAAAGTTGTNGACATTATGAAAGAACGTTGTAAATAAAATAATATAATATTTTATTTCACTTTACCACCACAAAGATAGGCCGTTAATAAAACTAATAAAAAATACGCGCGAATTTACCTACACCGACGACCAAGCCGTTAAGAGAATTTCAACTGAAAGCCGATATTGAGACAGCAACAAAGATAAATTTATGCCCATAAAAAACGAGTTAATAAAAGATAGCTAGAACAGATGGGTCGCCAGGTTGGCAACGTTGCCACTCATTTAGGAAATTCATAAAGTACAATAATAAATTAACAAGTTGAAACATTTTATTAAAAGAATTTTTGTATATATGGCGTAATCAACATGTTTTTATAGTAAAACGCATTTAACATAGAAGTAGCAAATTATTTATGTCTACAATATTATTCATTTAATGCCAAGAACCTGCCGTGTGTCTTACTAATATTAATTCTCAGTAGGTATTACAATATTTTTTTAATAATGTTATATGTTAATAGTACCGGATGTTTTTAAAATATAAGGAAATTTAACAATTTAATGTGACAACAATGTTTCTCGCTTGTAGTGGACTTTGCCCTATTCAAACATATCGGTTAGAGTATAGGATCAGCTGCCCAAACTCGCAACTCCAAAAACATCGAAGAACCCGCGTTTTGCTTTTTTTCAGTCAAAAAACTTTTTCACAGGATGGATTTTTTTACAGCACAACATTGTTGCTGAATTTGATAACTATTTTGGATATCAGATTTGCTGTTGCATCTTACATTGTTAGAATTACGGGATAGTATTTCCAGAATTTGGGTTTAATTTACACATTTAATACACTAATTTTGTCGCCCAGTTTATATTTGAGCTCATGCTTTAATTTGTTTCTGGAAAGTTGTTTTTCGTTTTTTGTTAACACAACACCTTTGATATTATATTTTAATACCTTAATACTCAAGCCTGTCAAATTAATACACTTTTTAATTTCATCAATTAACTTGAATTCAAAGACCTAAATTAGCTGTTTCTTTTTTCTGCTGAAAACTTTGTCACAAGTTTTGTAATTGGAATTATATCAGATAAACAGTTTTTATGATATTTATTTATTTGAAACAGCTTTGAGACTATGTGGAGGCAGTTTACGTTTATAACACCACTTTTATCAACATTTAATTTTATTTCTTCTAGCATTGCTTCCATTGATACACATAAAGAACAGTTAAGGTAAAGTCATATCATGGGAGGGAAAGTGTGAGCTTATGAATTTGTACACATTTAATTAAATCTGTGTACAATACTACTTACTGTTTTGCACAAAGGACCGCGCACTAATTACAAAGTTATGTTTGTCCTCTGGAATAAAGTTTAGATCACAAAAACTCCGGCATATTCATTTATTTTTGGCCACTTTTACTTCTACTCTCTACTCCTCTATTTAGCATTTCTGACAAGTGTATAGATGGAGTAAAAACGTAATACTAATGGCGATGTCACTCATTTTAAGATTTTTTTTTAAGACCTCGCCATCATTTCTACTTATACATCTTGTGTCCCTAGGGAAAGTGGGTTAAAATTTACTTTTATTTAATTTAATTTTTTTTTTTTCGGAGGAGGCTACCCAAAAAGGATAATTTTTTTCTAGAATAGGCCCCCACCAATTTTCAACCTACAGGCCCCCACCACTGTAAATTGGGCACTGCCCATGACCTTAGTGCCACGCGACAGGCCAACCTCAAAAATTGGTTACATGCATCTTTGATCTGTTTCATCGACCAGTTCTCCTCCATCCACGTTTCCGAGGATGATAGATCCCACAAACATAATGTCACGCTACCGATCACTCAAATGCGGATTGGGTTGGTTCTTGGCTGTTGGTTGGAATATTGCGGATGGTGTGACAATATGTTCGTGGACTTTATCTCCCTTGAAAATGGGTGATGAACTAGATGTGGCCGGTGCAATAGGTTACGTATACGTTTAACTCCTCTGCGAGGCAGTTTTTGGCCGGTTTAGGGAGGAAGGGGTTAGGAGTGCGGGTAGTGTGGGCTTTACCTTCCTTGCAGATATATGACATCGCTATCCGCATTCCGTCTTTACTTCATCTACACACGTGTCTAAAAAAGAGAGTAAAATTGGCCAAAAATAGACAAACAAGACGCCAAAAATAACTCAGTAATTCTCAATTTTGACTGAGACCACTTTTTAATGTAGCTGGTTTTAGTAGGTGGTCATTTTAAACTCATATAAGTAGTGATGTCAAACAAGATGTATGAATTATTAAGCATCCAGTGATGTATGATCAAAAATCAGTATTATCAATCAATTCAATTTTAAGGATAAAAAATTAAGCAGAAAATTATAAATTAATATATTTTATATGCCATGAAAACTCACAACGACTGCAGTGAAATTAAACTTATATAGTCATTAATTTACGTAAATTTGTTTGACAAAATCAAGAATAAAACTGTATCAGACATTAATAATAAGAATATATACATTTTAAATGAAATATAATCAGTTATTATTGTAACTTGTAACGTCTCAAGCTACTTCTTTTTTTTATCTACATAAGGAGGCGTATGTATTTTTTTCATGTACCTACTTTTATTATGTATTATTTAGTTGGAACGTTTGCAATTACTGAATTTTACTTGCCATTTCATTTCCGTCTCTACATATTATCTGATATTTATTATTACTTTTCAGATCAAAATGGAGCAGTAACCCTCATTTCTGCGGATCATATGCACACGTTAGCATAGAATCTGAGAATAAAAAAGCTTCTGCCGAAGATCTTGCTAAACCTCTCATATCAGCAAACGGCAAACAGACAGTACTTTTTGCCGGCGAAGCCACAAATCCCTCGAAATTTTCTACGGTCCATGGTGCTATTGAAACTGGTTACAGGGAGGCTGAAAGATTAATAAAAATATACAAGTAAATGTAAATGCGTTCTAGTTCTGTCTTTTTAATAACATAATTATACTTTATTAAACATGTATATAAAAATAAATATAATGAATGCAAACCGCGAATTGTTTTTCATTTTTTAATTCTCATATATTACATATTTTAGTTAATATTATTAGTAGTAGTAAGAAAATATATTCTAGGTTCCCTTGTAATGAACAACTTTCTAGACTTGTAGCAAATAAATAATATTTTCAATTTTGTTTGGAATTTGAAGTCCGTTCTTATTTTGTTTTTGTAATTCTTTGTTGTCAGAACTTATACAGGGTGAGATTTAAGTACGTGGTCAAGGGGTGACTCCTTGAGTGATTCTAAGACGAAAAGTTTATATAAATATAGGTCCGGTACTGCTACGTTTTCAACATACGGGCGTCAAACTTTTTTAAAAAATCGTTTTTTCATAAAAATCTTAATAATCTTTTAGGCGACTTTGTTGCAATTTGGCAGTGTTATTTGTGGTAGAAAGGGGCTAATTTAGCCCTAACTAGATTAACATTATTAATTCCAGTGGCGCCCCGGGGAGCACTTTAACCAATATTTTTGGCAAAAAAAAAGTGCGCTACTGACTTTTTTAAAATTTTTTTCGTGTCTTGCTTCCGTTTTAGGGAGAAAAAAAATAAAAATCAGTTTATTGCTTGTCCCTGGGATAACATAATACAAAATTTAAACTACCAAATCAAAAAGAACAGATACACCCCAGTTTTTGATAGTTTGGTAGTTTTAATATGATTCCCAGTGACATGCAACAAAGTGATTTTTATTTTTTTTATCCAAATAGGGAACAAGATATAAAAAATAATTAAGAGACAAAAATATGTAAGTACTTTTAGTTGCTTAATGGGGAAAAAATTATAAAAGTTTTAAGTGTCTCTGCCTCAATTTTTTTTTGTCAAAAATATTGGTTAAGGTGCCCCCCGGGACGCCACTGGACTTAATTAATTTTACTCTAGGCTAAATTAGCTCCTTTCTACCATAAATAACTGCCAAATTTCAACAAATTCGGCTAAAGGTTTATTAAGATTACGAAAAAACGATATTTTAAAAAAAATTGACACCCTGTATCTTGAAAACGAAGCATTTCCGGACCTATGTTTATATAAACTTTTTGTCTTAGAATCACTCAAAGAATCGCCCCTTGAAGTTTGGCCACGTACTTAAATAACACCCTGTATATCCAGCACTTCTCTCTAGTAATCATGTTCAGTCATTTGTCAAGTGACTTTCGAAAACGATAACTGGAGCATTTCAACCCGCAACAAATTGTCATTGTTGAAATTGGACAGACTGAATCTGACCCTTGTGTACGAGTACTATTTACATAGGTACTGTAAAAATGAACAACTTCAAATCAATTTATTTTTACAAGGATTTAGAAGTATTTAAGAACAACCAACATGTGTTTCGTAAAATAGATACACTAATATTTTTAAAACTTGCAAAAAAAAGAATATTCCTAAATTTAAATAAAATAAAAATTTAACATTAGCCGTGTTATACCTAATGCGCATGCTTGAAAAGGATAGCCTCATACGCAGGTGAGATCTTGTTGACGTCATCGCTGTAGTCATTAGCGGTTAGTAGTTGCTTTTCTGTACTACTATTTGGTTTGTTCTATTTGTAGGTCATGTCTGTAGTAGACAAATTGGAGCAAGGATGGCAAGAGCTACCATGTAATGGCATGTATCTAATCCTTTAGGAACAGGTGCAGGCGCATTTAGATATTTTTATCCATGACTTATAAAAGTCTAAAAGCGTGATATGTTTAGATGAATATTCCCCACAAATTTATTGTATGTAAACTAACACTTTACCTCGACTGTATCGTATATATGTATTTTCCTCTTTTTTTCCTGGCTAGAACTTCTCATATGATAACTGAAAGTTTAGCATCATAAAACATTTTTTATACATAACCAGAGCAAACAGAATTTTCTCCCTTTTCGATGAGCTTCTTTTTAGGCTATTGATTATATCCAAAAAACAGGGTTAAAAGGAACTATGAAGCAATTTTATTGCATGAATTGTTCAAAGGGTCATTTTAGATGAAAAAACCGCGGAATGCTATTAAATTTGACTGATATATGGCCGTTCAAACTTAGCCAATTTTTGCGCGTTTACCCTTACCTAAGTCCACTCCTAACACAAACGAACAATGCAGAGGTCACCTCTGACAAATACCATCTCCAAGAAAGTTGTCGATATGTCCGTTGTATACGATTGTACTAACGACTTTCGAATGATCGGCTGTGATAAATACCACCAATGCGAAAAACAGGTTGTATATGTGAGACACGTACTGACGGATTTCTAGGGGCTGTATTAAACTCCCCTCTGAAAGCTTATGACAAAAAACAAACAACAAGATTCATTCAGGCAGTAAACGTTTAGGCACAGTCCGTAAAAAGCAATAAATAATTATTGTTATGGATGAAAGAACACGTCCATCACTGTTATCTTGGAGTGTTAGTGAATTAAACCTTACAGATTGTACTTCCATTGTATAATTAGATATTTCTATGACAGTGAAATCAAAAATTTTAAATAAATAATCGTTACACTGAAAGCACCATAGATATGTACTAATATTATAAATTTAGTTTACCCATCGAGACAGTAGATAAGTTTTCTCGATTACACAAACACTATAACACATGACATAGTTAACTCTTGAAAAAACTCTCTGTTTTCCGTCTCAAACTTCAAATTAACTTGTAAAGTGAAAATCAAATGTGATGTTTTTTTTTTCACTTTGTCAGTTTTTTTAACATTAACTGTGTCATGTGTTGTAGCGCTTACTATGTGACCGAATAGAAATGCATTCCTTAAGTGTGAAATATCTCTCGTTAAGGTGACCATATCCCTGGCCGAGAAATAGTCAAATTTCTGGCATTTTTTGGTACTGAAATCTTAAAAAGTAAAAGGTGTAGAACAAAAGTAAGCACAAAAATAAAATCCTTGATGTTCTGTTTATTCATTGTTACTATTTAAATTTACTCAAATAAAATAATAACTATAAAAAGCGTTTTGTAAAACATGCGTTTGCTGTTATCCTAACCACACATTTTAAGCATTATTTTCACGTACTTATAAATAAAAGTCAACAATTTTATATGTAGGACTAAGCAAGTAAATATTATAAGAATATTTACATGTGGAGTTGTATATAAAAAAGTTAGTATTTTCGTAGATTTCAGTACCTAAAACTTTGATGGTTTGATCGTTTTTTGCACCTGTTTATTCGTTTTACTCGTCTTTGAAAATACCCAGATGGCATGACATAACATTCCTATTATTTGATAAGCTTTAGATTATTCAGTTATTAAATGTTTGAAATTATTTGTCTTTGCGGAAAACACTATTTAAATACGGCGCCCTTAAGCAAAACTAAATTTATAAAATTAACCCCTTCACTGATCCTTTTGGCGCAAGTGGTTATTTATTAAAATATTTTGGCAGAAATATATGTATAATTAAATAAAAACATTAACAAAAAATTACAATCGAATAGATTATAGTTTATATCATACATTTGGATACGTTCCGGCAGGATATTATCGTTTTTTAAGTCCGTGTGTCGTCGGATTTCACCCAACTTTCGAATCTCACCTACTTAACCGTTTGCAAAGCCTCTACGTACGGAAAGCACAACCGAAAGGATTTGCCGATGCTTAAGGGTATCTAGTGAGAAGATGTTGAGCGAAAATCGAAATTTTCAACTGTGTTTCGAATCCTACAACCGAAATTGTTCATAGAACTGCAACGCACTCCAAACACCTCAAGCCACAACAAAGATCTCCAGTTTTAATTTTTTTTTCCTGGAAAACACCAGGAATGCCATTAATTCGAGCTAAGATACGAGACCAAGTTGTCTTACATAAATCTAAAATATAGTCAGATTTCGCGACGCGGCTAGTCAACAGCCACGAAACCCCCAATTGCCTGAAGAGGCTAAATATCAGAATCCATACCGAAAAACAGTAACCGAGAATTGGCGGGATCGAATGTTGAATCTGGTATCTTTCAGTTCTGTAGCCAGGGTAGAAGTATCTGGCCAATGTGTGTACATGATCTCAATTCAAGCATATTCGTCGTCTCTCGATACCTTGAAGTCGTCCTTGTTTATTTGGAGACAAATAAGTCTCAAGGCTATATTCAGGGTTCCACACGGCAGTCCAAAGAACCTGAAAACTTATATACAGTTTTTTCTGAATCCGTTATCGATATTTTATAAAAATTTGCAATAATTTTTTTATTTTTTGAATTTGTGGATTCCAGTATCTTCTCTTGAGATTTTCCTATGCGCAAGCAGAAGTAGCGAATATCTCAGCTTACAAGACGATGGCAGACCTTCCGGGGGATAAAATAAGTGCATTTCTGGTCGACAGATACCCACCTCTGAGTCCTCGTCTGTATTGGGTTGGCAAGCCGAGCTTCCCTGTCTGGATTATCTACTTTGAATTCTTTGAAAAAAATGTAGGTAAGGGATATCTTGTCGCTTCAAGAATCTCTAGTAATTCCTTAAGGACAAACGTGTGTCATCCATCCTCAACATGTTCTCGACAGAGTTCCCATTGCTTAAGCCTATATCACATTCAACCACAAAGTGTGGTTTTAGAAGTGGCAGAAAAGCCTCCAAAGCCTCTGTTAGAGCTGTGCGTATCGCTCTAGTCAAGCTAAAACATGCTAGACGTTGTAGTTTACTTAAGCGATATTAGCCGATTATCTTTCGCTTTCTGGTGAAGAGAACTAGATCGATTTTGGATGAATTTACTCATGGTCCCTGATCCCTGTGCTCTATTGTGTTTAGGGGCTCTTTCACTCCAATAAAGATATCATTTAAAAAAAAAAACAGAATGATTTTTTCAGGGTTGCTTGGGGACTGCCTCCTGAGTATCCAACCAAAAGATCATACTCGAACTTCTGGTACGACTTGCGCTATGGGATGGTTTCCTAAACATTTTTAAAGCAAAATAACCTTAATAAAAGTTGCAGAGGATCAAATTCTGAACAACTTTTTCTTATAAATGTTTTTTGTATGCGTAATACTTAACGAGTTACTGCGCAT